CGAGTCGGGTCCGACTTAACAGCACATAACAACAACAATGGCTAATGATGTTGAGCATCTTTTGATGTGGTTAGTGGGCATTCGTATAATCTTTGTTGTAGAAATATTTATTCAGATCCTTTGCTTATTTTTAAATAGGATTATTTGTCCTTTTATTACTGAGTTGAAAGATTACTTCATATATTCTAGGTGCAAGTTCCTTATTAGATACATGATTTACAAATATTTTCCCTATTTGGTGTGATATCTTTTCATCTTCTTAATAGTATACTTTGAGTTACAAAGTTTTTTATATTGATGAAATCCAGTGTATCTATTTTGTTGTTGTTGTTACTCATATTTCAGGTGTCATATCTAAGAATCCATTGCAAAAGCTAAGGTTAAGATAATCCTCTATGTTTTCTAAGAGTATTATAGTTTTAATTCTTACATTTAGGTGTTTGATCCATTTTGATTAGTTTTTGAATATAATATTAGGTAGTGATCCAGCCAAGCTCTGGGTCCATTGCCCAGAATGACTTAAGCCAATAAAGACACACGGAGGTGAAGAACAAAAAACATGGCTTTTATTAAGTTTCTATAGGAGCTAAGACAGAGAGGGAAATTCCCTCAGATTCTGTCTTCCTGTTTGTAGATGCGTTCCAAGTTTTTTTTATAGGTTGGGGATTACATCAGAATTATACATACAGTTTCATATGATTATAGGTTGAGCATGCACAGTAAGGGATTCAAAGATAGTGCCCCTTAGCATGTCTCATAATGTTAAATCTCTGCCCGGGGATGTGATTTTTAGTTTGCTAATGTCCCCTTTCATCTAGTTTCAGGCTGTTCCAGGGTCAGCAAACATCCAGACTGTTATTTCTCAGAAACGACATTTTACTTCTTATCTCACTGGGAGAAGCATTGTAGAACTCCTGATGAATATGGTGCATTCTTTTAAGGAACACTGTGGATCAGTAGGAGTCCGACTTTTTCTTTTAAATATGGCTATAACAGTTGTCCTGGCACCATTTGAAGAAAGATGCACCCCTTAAAAGAGTCAACCTTGAGAAATCAGAAGAACAGCATTTGCATTGGGGGAAAGCTAGACAGACAGGAATGTGTAGGTAAGAAGGACACAGGCAAGGGATAGTCACAGGGAGGACATGGCAGGAGAGATTTTTATTGTTGGCATTGTAATTGGGGCCATGAAGCCAAATGTACATGAACTATTGAGAGTAAAACTAATCTGCTTTGTAAATTTGCACCCAAATCAATAAAATTTTTTTCTGAAAAAGATTGTTTTGTTTGGGTCCCTTGCAATTCCATGTGAATTTTGGAATCAGCTTCTCAGTTTCCACAGAGAAGTACACTGGGAATCTGATAGGAATTGCATTGCATCTGTACATCTCCCAATACTTTCGTGGTTTTAATTTTTATGTTTAAATGTTTTATCTTTCTGGAATTTATTTTTATATAGTATGAGAAGTTGAAATCTCAGGTTTCTTTTATCCAAATGGACAGTGTCTTGTCCCAACATCATTTCTTAAACAATCCACCCTTTTGCTATTGATATGAAATGCTACCATTATCATATACAAAATTTTCATATTTCAATTAACTCATTCCAGAGTTCATTGTTGATTTTCTTTATGTTCCTTTGCTGTACCACATTATTTCAATTACTGTAGCTTTGTAACAATTTTGACATCTGGTAGGCTAAAGTTACCTTCTTCCCCAGTATTCCCCTTTCAAAATTATCTTGACCACCTTCTGCTTTCACTCTCCCAAATCCTCTTAGCATCAATTTGTCAAGTATATTAACTTCCCTCGAAATCCTCTTGGTATTTTAACTGGCATAGCAGATAAAGTTCTAATGATTTTTTTCTTTTGACCAAAATTTTATGTTCTAGTTTTCTTTTATTGCTTAAATTTAAAATTAGGGCCAGTCCATTCCCTAGCTTTAATTATCTTTATGTTTCTTGCTTCACTGTTTTTTTTCCTCCAAATTTTTTATTTTTGTTTCTAATATGATATAGCAGAGAAGATCTCATCTGAATCTATCAGCAGCATTAAAATCATTTTTAAAACATTGGAGAGCCAGACTTTTTCAGAGCTGTGTTCTTCCCTATATGTTTCTGTGGTTTGTTCTCCTGCCTAGGATTGAGTTTTTGGTCCATGTCTATCAATTACATGGCTTACATTCCCTTAGAATCATTGATTATTATTTTCCAACTAACTGAATTCTTAAGCAAGTGAATAATCCTATTTGAGGAGTTGTGATAATAACCTCAATTGATAAGGCATGCATTTTCTATATTTAAAAACAAATCAGGTGCATAGTTACGAGGTGGGGAAATTTTATTTGGTAATACTGGTGAATCAGTCGTATTTTAAAAACAAAGGCAATAAAGGACTTAGTGTGTAAGTTGATTTCAAACTCAGTGTGAGTTATGATCCCTGTTGAAAATGAAAAGGATGCACCTTAGGCCGCATTGCAGGAAATATGGCAAGAAAGGTAATAGCTCCAGCTGTGCTGATCAAACAGTGTTTATACACATATTTTGTGCCAGAGACTAAACTAAGTGCTAGGATACAAAACTGAGAAATACAGCCCACTTACAGTAGAGAACTATAAATAAACAGTAACAGGTTTTATGAAAAGCCAAAAGATGGTCATCTAATACCTGAATTGCAGAGTCCGGGGACATCTTTTAAGTAGGAGGTGACACACGGCATACATGGACTTTGAGCTAGGGCTGTGGTGCTCTCTAGTTATAGAACCTTGTACAAATTCTTTCTCCCTCTCAATCTCTGTGTCTTCACGTCTAAAATAGAGTTAGTAATAATCTATTTCACAGTTTTGTTCTAAGCATTAAAATTGTGGTGTATATAAGGAAAGGAAGTCCCTAACACAGAGTATAGATCATGGCAATCAGTCAGTAAATGGTATAGAATGTGTCCGTTTTGAATTGCTAGTAGGAGTTGGCCCCGCAGAGAAGGGCATTACTAGCAGAAGGAAAGGTGTGCAAAGCTAAGATAATTGAGCCTTTCTGGAACTGCAAATATTTAATCTAGTTGGAGAGTAGGGTGCATATCGGGGGAGTAGCTGAAGATGAAGCTGAGAAAAGAGGCAAGGGTAAGATCTTCAACTGGGCATCTGTGCTTTGTTGAGTTTGAGAGGCATTCAGGAATTGTTATGGAGTCTTTGAAGGCCTTAAGTAGGTGTCCAGAATAGTTTCTCCAGTTAAAAAACAAGTTGGTACAGATGGCGGGGGGCAAGAAAAACAATTGGAAGTAGGGTATACAGACAGTTACAGCAGTGGTTATTAGCTCTGGTTGCACATTGGAACCATCTGGAGAACTTTTAACAGTCTGATGCCCAAGTTCACCCCACATCAATTAGATCAGCATCTCAAGGGGCTTTTTTTTAAATTGCTTCTCAGGTGATTACCACGCACAGGCACAGTTGTGAACTGCTGAATTAGTGGGGAACTTTATTCAAGACAGAATTGATGCAGTTCCAAATTGAACAAGTGTACAGGCAGAAAGAGACCAGATTATGGTGAAAACGAGGATGTTGAGGTCAGTTGTATGAAGGAAGAGGCTGAGAGGCAAAGTTGAAGGAAGATTATTTCTGGATTAAGTCCCTGAGTGGATGATGGTGATGATTATATCTCAAAGTTCAGTCATATAACAAGACTGAGAACATTAAGGATAAGCAGATGTGGGTACTAAACTTTCCTGAGTGGGTGTGAGAAAAGTTAAGAATTTGATTTGAAAGCATAGAATTTTAGGGGAGAATGGTCCAATGGCAAATGAGCAGAGACAGAAGCAGAAAGTGAGGAACTAATGGAATAGTTGAAATTCAAGAGGCAGAGTAGATAGTTGATGGGCAAGATTCTCAAGGAGTCAGAAAATGAGGAGCAGAAATGAATTTATATGAAAATGAGGGACATTTCCACTCAAAGGGAAAAAAGTGAAATTAAATAAGTGCAGGTAGGTTTACAGGTTGAGGAGAAAGTGGTATAATTTTGCCTTACAGCCTGATTTCCTTACTGCAGAAAATATGGCTATCTGCTGAGAATTAGAAGGTAAGAGAAGGGGACTAAGGAGTGTGGTCAAGATTTGAAATTGCCAAAGAAGGGGGCCACTTGAGGAAGGAGACTAAGAAGAACGTGCTTTTTTAGTCCTGTTCCTAATTATTCTCCTTCACCCCCACAGGTTTCAATATTGGCATCTTCTTTTTCACATACATGCTGAGTGAACTCATTTGTTATATTCAGTTGTAGTTGTTAACATTCTAAGAGAACCATTGATAACTGAAGTGCGTCCCGAGGAAAAAGTAGATAATATGTTAGTTTAGGAAATGATTGGTTGTTTTTTTGTTTTGTTTTATTGGTAGCCATGTGCTACCTTAATTTGAAATTTATGGTTAAAATTCACTAGAAAACACTGTATACATCCTACAAACCCCAACATCAGTAGCTAATTGGCATCATGGTTTTGTTTCCTTTAGTATCATAAAACTCAAAAAAAACCCTACAAACTCAACATTTTGATAAACTTTAAATTTTAAGTGAAAATACTGATATTATTTGAAGTTTTCTGCTATGAATACACTGTAAAGAAATTCAAATATATGTTTATCTTATTTTTTGTCATATTAGACTCCATACATTTTTTTTCAGTGACTTGATTTCTCAATTATTTGATATAAGCTATGATTTATATTATTTATTGTCTAGATAAGTTCTTCCTCTAAAATCAGATGCCAACTAAAAATCTAGTAGTTAGCTGTCAGATGGATTGGGACTGTTTTATAAATTTCTTATTCAATAGAATGAATTGTATTTACTACAACAAAATAGTCATTAGTATAACTTTTCAATAATATTTCTTGTTTAGAACTTACTTCTTGAGATAATTATGAATTATTTAAGGAAAACTGGACTTAAGACTCTGGATGTATAGATATACATGATATGGCAGAACACTAATCTCATGTTTTGATACCATTTCAGGTAACGTTTCTTTTGTTGCATTTCCAGTTTCGAGCACCAACTCACCAACAAAGATTTTACCAAAAACTTTAGGACCAATAAATGTGAATGTTGGACCCCAAATGGTAAGAAAATCATCACATCTTAAAGTTTGAAACTATACTTAGGCAAGAATAAAGGATAATTGTAATAAAGATGTTAGGTCAGATATTCCACTCAATTTCAGTTATCTCTGTCACTTTTTAAAAAAGTTTTGTTTTCATCTGAATATAGCTAGTTAGCTCAGTCTTAGAAGGGAAAAAAAATGTATTGGGCTTGTCAGTGTTTAAACTTTTGATATTTGAATAAATGGATTCTGGATGTGTAATTAAGATTTTCACTCCCTACGTGAGCTTTTCATGTTTATAGTTGCTTAATTAAATTGACTTGATATGTTATATTTTATGCTCTTTTCTTTTGATTATTAAAAAAGCCCTTTACCATCATAAACTATGTGTTCTCATTTAAATGTTATTTTTTACCTAAGAGTTAATCTGTACATAGTGCTATTAATTTAAAATTCTGTCTGTTAACATCTGAGGAAAAAGCAACATGCCAATTCATTTTTATTGGTAGCAATCAAAATAGTGAATGAAAAATGGGAAATATTTAACCCTTTTTCCAGAAGATGTTGATTACTTATGCCACAGCTTGACGTGTATAGAACTTTCAGAAAGACTAATTTATATAGAAAAAACTTTTACTGATAGTTTTCCAGGGTTTTTTTTTAATTATTATTTTCGCAGTGTTCCCTCCCATTCCCTCCCTCCCCTCCTAACCAACAAAGAGAGTTTCCTTCCATATATGAACCTTTCCTTGACTTTTTACAATAATGAACTAATACACTGTTTGTCCTTCTGTGATTGATTTATTTCACACAGCATGTCCTCCAAGTTCATCCAGTTTATGCAGTGTCTTTTAGATTTTACATTATTTTTTAGTGTTACATAGTATTCTGTTGGGTTCCTGTATCATAGTTTGGTTATCCATTTTTCTGTTGATGGGCATCTAGGTTGTTTTCAGTTATAAATAGTACTATGATGAACATGGGTGTGCATAAAACTGTTCTCATCCTGGCTCTTACTTCCTTAGGATGTATACCTAGTAATGGGATTGCTGGATCAAATGCTATTTCTAATTTTTAAGGAATTGCCATACTGTTTTCCACAGTGGTTATATTATTTTACAGTCCCACCAGCAGTGTTTGCGACTCCCAGTCTCTCCACATCCTTACCAGCATTTGTTATTTTCTGTCTTGTTGAACTTTGCTATTAGTGCTGGGGCAAGATAGTATCTCATTTTTGTTTTGATTTGCATCTCTCGAATGGCTAATGATCGTGAACAGTTCTTCAGTTGTTTTTTGGCCGCCTGACTATCCTCTTTGGTGAAGTGTCTGTTCATGTCTTCTGCCCATTTTTGCATTGGATTTTTTTGTTTTTTTGGTGTTGAGATGCTGGGGATTTCTATAAATTTTAGAAGTCCTTTGTCAGATATGTCCTTGCTGAATATTTTTTCCCAATCTGTAGGTTCTCTTTTGACTCTTTTGGAGAAGTCTTTATGAAGCACATAAAAATTTAATTTTTAGAAGGTCCCATTCATCTAGTTTATTTTCTGTTCTTTGTGCATTTTGGATTATGCTTGATAGTCTATTTATGCCATATATTACGGGCCCTAAATTTGCCCTAGTTTTTCCTTGAGGAACTTTATAGTTTTAGGTTTCACATTTAAATATTTGATCCATCTGGAGTTAGTTTGTGTATGGTGTGAGGTACAGATCTTGTTTCATTTTTCTGCAGATGGATCTCCAGTTTTACCAGCACCATTTATTAAACAAACATTCTCTTCCCCATTTAATGGATTTTGGGCCTTTGTCAAAGATCAGCTGACTATAGGTCGATGGATCTATTTCTGGGTTCTCAATTCTATTCCATTGGTCTATGTATCTGTCATTAAATCAATACCAGGCAGTTTTGACTACTGTGGCTGTATAGTAGTAGGTTTTGAGATCAAGAAGTATGAGACCTCGTACTTTGTTCTTCTTCAGTAGTACTTTGCTTATCTGAGATCTCTTTCTTTTTCATATAAAGTTAGTGATTAGGTTTTCCATATCCTTAAAGAATGTTTATGGGATCTGGGTTGGGATTGCATTGATTGTATAGGTTACTTTGGGTATTATTGATATTTTCACAATGTTCAGTCTTCCTATCCACGAGCATGGTATGTTCTTCCATTTATGTAGACCTCTTATGATTTCTTGAAGTAGTGTTTGTAGTTTTCTTTGTATAGATCTTTTGTGTCCCTGGTAAGATTTATTACCAAGTATTTTATGATTTTGGTAGCTATTGTAAATGGTATTGATTTCCTTATTTCCTTTTCAGCAATCTCTTTGCTTGTGTAGCAGAATCCCACTCATTTTTGTATACTTATCTTGTATCCTACCACTATGCTAAATCTCTCAATTAATTCCAGTAGTTTTTTCTGCTGAGTCTCTTAGGTTTTCTGTGTCTAGGATCATATCATCAGCAAATCGGGATAATTTGACTTCTTCCTTACCAATTTGCATGCCTTTGATTTCCCTTTCTTGCCTTATTGTCCTGGCTAGGACTTCCAGTACAGTGTTGAATAGAAGGGGTGATAGAGGGCATCCTTGTCTGGTTCCTGTTGACAAGGAGAATGGTTTCAGTCTCTCTCCATTGAGAATAATGTTGGCTGTTGGTTTTGCATGTATGCCCTTTATTATGTTGAGGAATATACCTTCTATTGCTATTTTGCTGAGAGTTTTGATCAGAAATTGGTGTTGGATTTTATCAAATGCCTTTTCTGCATTGATTGATATGATCATGTGTTTCTTCTCCTTTGTTTTATTTATGTGATGTATGACATTGATTGCTTTTCTAATGTTGAACCATCCTTGCCTTCCTGGTGTGAACCCCACCTGGTCATAATGTATTATTTTTCTGATATGTTGTTGGAGTCTGTTGTCTAAGATTTTGTTGAAGATTTTTGCATTTGTATTTATGAGGGATATCAGTCTATAGTATTCTTTTTTCATAATGTCTTTGCCTGGTTTTGGTATCAAGGTTATGCTTTGGGAAGATTCCATCCTTTTCTATATTTTGGATTAGTTTGAGTAGGATTGGTGTCAGTTTTCCTTACATGGAGATAAATTTTACTGGTAGTTTTCCTTTTTTTTTTTTAAATTCTATTTGATAGGGCCATAGCTGTGAACCTGGATTATGCTCAGTATGTTCTAAAATCCAACCACAAAGCAAAAAGAACTTCTCGGGGAAACTGTTCAAACAATACAGTGGGGTTATGTGCAAACTCAAATGCCTTCATTAGGTTATCTAAAATAGATGAAGTGGACTTCAGCAAGATGACAGACTAAGCAGATAAATTACTCAGATGCCTTACAACAAAGACATGTGAAACCAAACAAAAGAGATAGAGATGATAATCCTGGAAACCTGAGCTTCAAAGGATTGGGTAAAGAAGTAGATCAAATACCAACTAGAAGAAGAAACTGAATGAAAAGATAAACAAGAGACAGACAAAGCAGTGAATTGTCAGCTGACGTGACAAAGTGTGGCCTTCTGGAATTTTTTCAGGCAGTGTTGTGATCAGAGCTGCAAACTGATAATCATTTCTGCTCACCCAAGGCTACAACGGCGCCCACACTAATAGCTGGTAACCAGAAAGGTGCAATTTTTCCCTTTGTTCCCCACCCCCTCCTGGTGACCATATGTGTGGCCGTCTCTTACCCCCAAGTACCTGGTGGCCAGTGACACCCCCCTGTGTGATCCATGCTCTGCCTGAGTTTGAAGGTGAATCCTTATGGATCAGGAGCTCTGGTAGCATAGAGCCTAAGGCACTTGACTGCTAATGATAAGGCTGGCTGTTTAAACCCACCAGCCACTCCTCAGAAGGAATGTTGGGCAATCTACTTCTGTAGTGATACCATCTCGGAAGCCCAAGGAGGGGTCACTATGAGTCAGGTACAACTTGATGGCACATAACAACAACAGCAACACCCTTATGGATCAGCCCCCTGGTGGGTGCCACCCCTGTGTTTGGAGGCATGTGCTTGCCACCTCCTCGGACCAGCAGAATGTGCAATGTCAGACCAGGCACCCTGCCCCCAGGCGCCCTGCCCCCAACTGCCTTCTAGGCCAGCAAGAACTCTGCCCTGGACCAGGAAAATCGCTTTCAGTTACCTCCTAGTCCATGGGACCCCCTTCCAGAACTGAGTGCCCTGCTACCAGTTGCCTTCTAGGCTGGCAGCAGTTCCATCCTGGGTTGGTGACCCACCCCCAGCCACTGTCTCAGCTGGCAGAAGCACCACCTGGATGCCCTGTACCCTACTTTACTCCTTTCTTTTTTTCTTTTTCTCTATTTATTTATTTGTTTTTCTGGTTTCCTTTTTTCTTTCTCACATTTATCCCTTCTTCTCTTTCTCCTTTTCTTCTTTATTACATACTATTAGCTTTTTCATTTTCTCTTTTCTTTTATTCCTCTCTCTAGTGTTTGTTTTTCTTTTCCTTTCCTTGTTTTGTTTTTTTTTTTTTCTTTCTCTTTTTATAAAATTTAATTTATTATTTTTTTTTGTTGTTGTTGCTGTTTGGTTTTTAACTCTTGGTTTTTTTTTAATAATTTTTTGTGCCTACACTGCCCAGCCACAGCTGCACCTCCTGTAGCTCAGAGCCACCAACTATTCCTGCACCACCTGATGAATGATAGATGGCAGCCAACACCAGCTCATCCCACCCTCAACTGCTCTACACAAACAGTGAACAGAGAACTGTACATACATTCTGATCCTTAATCACACCCACCATGAGACAAGTTGTGAGCACTAAATGCTGCCGGTCTAACAAGCAGAATAGCACCCATACCCTGCTTGCTCAGATATATCAAAACAAAATAAAGCAAAAAGAAAAACCTGGATGAAACACACCAGCATATAATCACCAATAAAATAGAAATATAGTCATAGCACACTATCTCTGGATACAACAGACAACTTCAGTTCACACAAAGAAACAGGACAGAGTGATGCAAAATGATCAGAATACAGAGCCAGAAAACC